TGCAGGCTGGCTTTTTTTTTTTTTTTTCCCCTTTTTTTATTGTTTATTTTGTTCTTGTGCCTGGCTATGGCCTTTTAGTTCACATTTTAAAAATATTTCCCTATCACTGCTACGCATTTGAAGCAAAAGGAGAATGGCAGTGTGGGGACTTATAATGCTGCCCCTACCAAAAATCCAGGGCCTTTTCTGAATTCCAGGCTTTCAGAGTATGTGTCAGCCAGGGTGGTATATGAATAAAGTAGACTAAGTAACAGCAAAACAACTGTAGCTCAGCTTCAGTTGGGGAAACAATAGGGAATAGTGGAGAGTGTGGCAAATGGAAGACCATATGCCACAAAGAACAAGGCAATAGTGAGCTCTAGTGGATTGTTACTATGTGGAAGTGTAAGTCCAGTATGGCAGGCTGATCTTTCTTTATTAAGCCTTGAAATAATGGTCTTCTCCAAGATTCTGACTTGGATCCTCATTTCCTCCTATTTTACACACTCTCACTAATTCCATGATTTGCATTACTTCTATATTACTTGTATATCCAAATTCTTACTGGAATTTGTACTTAGATGTCTAATAGGCATGTGAAACTCAACACATATAAAACCGAACAGATTCACTGGTGGGAGTCGCTGTCTAAGAGTTATTATTTTCTCTATGAGGTTGGAAACCACGTTATGTATTAAGAGTAAAGGATGGTGTTTACGTGTGTGTGTGAGAGTCAAGATGAAAGATGAAATTAAAACTTTCAGGAGTCAAGAAAGTTGAAAATATTCTTGCGTAAAACGGAAGAAAGAAGGTGATCAGGGAATATAGTAAGACTTCTACTCATTCTGGGAACAACATAGTATGAGCATCTGAATTCTGATTTTAGAAATCCCTCGCTTTGCATTCTGGTTCTTTCACCCAATAATTTTGTGGCTTTGGGCAACTTCATTAAACTCTCTCACACTGAGCTACAGCTCTTTCATCTAAAATAGTGATCAATAATACTGAACCATTGACACAGTGGCTGCAACGATGGGCTCGGGTATAGCAAAGATCATGGGGCTGGCACAGGACCAGCAATCTTTCGTTCTGCTGCACATAAGGTTGCTAAGAGTCAGAGACAACTTGATGGCACCTAACAACAACAATATTGAGCCTAAACTTATATAGTTTGTGTGTGTGTGTGAGGATTAAAGATAATGTATGTACCTTGCCTAGAACATAGTAGGTGCTCACCAAACAGTAATGATTATATAGTGAAGAGTACCACATCCATCCAATTACCAGAAATATTATTCATTTTTAACTCATCCTTCGCCCTCATCCTACATATTCAGTGTCTTAAGTCCTGTCTTCTACTTCCATGCTCTTGCATCCATCTTCTGCAGTTCCTTCATGACTTTAGTTCAAGCCACTATCATCTCTGACCTGAATTATAGCCATGAACTCCAAATTGGTTCCACTTCCCTAAGCTGCTCTCACAGTAGCTGCCACTAGCAATCTGTCACAAATTTCGAATACTCCTATTTCATCCAGAAAAAGAGACAAGTTTACTAATATGTCTTCCAAGGGTCTGCATTTGCTGCCTCTTGAGATGGGTAATGTATTAGTTTTCTACTCTGTGATAACAAATTGAGTAGCTTCAAACAACACAAATCTATTAGCTCACAGATCAGGAGATCAGAATAGCGTAGCTGGGTTCTCTGTTCACGGCATTGCAAGACTAAATTCTCATCTGGAGGCTCAGGAAAAATCTGTTTCCAAGCTCATTCTTGTCACTGGCAGAAATTAGTTCTTTGTGACTAGAGTCCCCGTTTCATGCTGGCTGTCAGCCAGGGGACTGCTCTCAGCTAAAGGCTTCTCTCCACTCTAAAGCCAATGTTTCAGGTGCCTTCCTCCATTTTCATGCCAACAACGAGGTGTTAAATCCTTGTACTTCAAATCTCTCTGACTTCCTCTTCTGCTACCAGCCAGGGAAACTGCTCTGCTTTTAAAGGACTTTTGTGATTAGGTTAGGACTAGTTAGCTAATCTCTCTATCTTAAGGGCAATTGATTAGTAACATTAATTACATCTGCAAATTCTCTTTTGCCACAAAGGGTAACATAATCACAGGAGTGATATCTAATTATATGCACAGGTTCCACCCACACTCAAGGAAAAAAGATTTTATAAGGGTGAGAGTCAGTGGGCCTCATTTTAGGATTCTGCTTACCACAAAGCCAGGGAAAGCTTCTTGGAGGAATTGCTGCCTGAGCTGAGATCGTAAGGACCTCAGTAGGCCATAATGTAATCAGGAAGGAAGGGAGAAGCTTCCAGAAGGAGGTAACAGCACATGCAAAGACCATGTAGCTCAAGAAAGTAAAGCAAATAAAAGGTACTAAAGGAAGACCAGCATGTCTACAGTGGAGAGAACAAGGTTCATAGTGGCTTGAAACAAGGTTGGAGAGGCAGGTAGGAAGGAGGCGAATTATGCAGACTTTGTAGACCCTGTTAAAAAGTTTGCTTGCAGGAGAATGGAATAATCAGATTCATTTTTTGAAACACCACTCTGACTATAAGGTTAAGGATGGATGTGAGAAGGCATCAGTAGCATATGGTGGACCACTCAGGCTAGGAGGGTAGGACAGGATCATGAGATGCCATTAGGGTAATGTCAGTGGAGATAGATGCAGATTGATTTGAGAAACACTTAATAGGTAACATCAACAGGACTTCACGATTGATTGGATATGAGAGTGATGCAGTTGGATTTCCTATGAAGCAGACTCTAAGACACAGCTGTTCAAGAGAGCTCTTGAAGTCATCACCTGTGCAAGAGAGAGAGGACAAAAGCAGAATTGGGTAAAGGAAGAAGCTGAGCAGTAACTCAATCCCAAAGAAGGCCCCCATCAACCCCCTGAAGAACTCTGGGGTTGTGAAAGTCTTTCAGAGTTATCCTCTACTGTTAAGGGGTTGAAACTCTATACCTCTGCACTGATCCTACATTGGATGTAGGACCTCCTAGAAAGCCAACATCATCTTGGACAAGCCAGCTCTCTTCAACTCAGGTATGAAGCTGAGAGTAAATCCAGTTTGTGAAGACAATAAATCCTTCATTTTTGAAGGGGTCTGGGCTTTGCATCACAGCCTTTACCACAGAGATGAAGGAGCCTAAGGAAGCAAGGCGTCAAAGATGATTTCTAAATTTCTGACCTGTGCAACCTGGTGGATGCATTTATTGCATATATTGCAATCATTCCCCCTACTAGATTGGAAGCTTCTCAAGTACGGATTGTATTGAACAACCAGTGTGCAGCCCTATACCTGGCACATAGTTTGATGCATAAATGAACGCCTGCCCGTGGCTCCTAGTTCCTTTTCTGTCTCCTCAACATCTCTTTGCTCCCGTGCCCTCCCTCCCTCCCTCCCTCCAATGTGTGAAAAGTACAGCAGGTTATCTGAGGCCCCACCTGGGCTGGCGTTGAACAAACAGCAAATCAGGCTCCTCAGATGGGCAAGGCAGGTAGTGCCAGGAGAAAGGAAAGGGGGAACTGTTGCGGGCACCTCACCCACCCCTAGGCTGAAAGCCTTCTTCAATGCTTCACCTGCGATAAACTCAATGCTGCCTGGACCAGGTCCTCAGAATTCGCCATAAAACTAGTACACATTGGTACACTAATCTACTCTTTGATGCCCCACATTTTACAGCTACTGATGGGGACCAGATCGGAGGACGGAATTTCAGGTCTTATGGGAGTTTGTTAGGAACAGAGGAGGATGGATACCTGTCAGGGCTGAAATATAAAGGTGACAAGTCCTACTCCAAAAGGCTAAACCCACCTCAGTCCTGCACACGCCCCCTTTTGCTTTGTTTCTGCTGCCCCTCAGTGACCCAGCCCCCTTCCGACCCCCTCTCGTGGGAACCTGGCGCCCTACACAGGCGGCTCCGTTTGACATAAAAGCAAACAGTGAGCGTCAGCGTGTCGGGTGGGAGTGGGCGCTGCCTGGAGACCGCAGAGAAAGCCAGCCTCGTCCTCCCCTTCCTTGCCTGCGCTGGGCTCGGATTGCAAACAAACCCTTCCTATTTTTCAACAGCCCCCCATCCCACCCCCATTTATCCTGGGCATTTCTCACCACCATCCCGACCTTCCTCAAAGCCCAAGTCACACTTTCTCCCGGCAGTTCTTCCCCCTGCCTGAGCTTCCCTGGGGACAAATGCCCTCTTCCACCTCTACCCACCGCCCATTCTCGCCCGCTGCTGAAGTTTCCTTGAAGCCTTGGGTGGAAGCCTGGATTGGGGCCTTGGTAGGAAAGTGGAGGGTGCCCGGGCAGATGCAGCGGCTACCCCAGCCCCGCAGTGATGAGCTGCAGAGCCTTACCGTAGCCAGGGCGCGGCGGTCACCCCGCCACCGCGGCAGAGAACCGTAACCTCTGCACTTCTCAAGGGCTGAGACATCTGAGCCGCAGCGGGGGACCCCCACGCGCAGCCCTAGTCTCCGACACCACCTGCACGTCCCCTGCCCCCATCCCGAGAGATGCAGGACCCTGGGGCAACAGCGTACTATCCCAGACCTCTTACACACGCACGCACACACACCTCGCATCCAGCCCAAGAGCTCCCCGGAATCAGGGAGAAGACAAGAGAGATGTAGCGAGGGGTCCCCCCTTGGAGGAGGACAGTCACGCAGGGAGGGGGCGGGTGAGTCGCGAGTGGCGGACGGGGGCGGAAGGATCACCTGTCAGGACAGACGCGGCCCGGAGCCAGCGAGGCAAGAGGGCCCAGGCGGGGAGCGCGAAGGGGAGCGGAGGCGCGGGGCCGGAGCTGGGGGCGGGAACCAGGCGGGGACCTGGCGGGCGGGGCGGACGGGCGCCCCAGCCGGAGTCGCCGCGCGCGAGCAGGTGGAGCCGCGGCGGGAGCCCGCCCTGCCCAGCGGAGGGAGACATGCCTCCTACCCACAGCCCTGCCCAGCGGAGGGAGACATGCCTCCTACCCACAGCCCTGCCCAGCGGAGGGAGACATGCCTCCTACCCACAGCCCTGCCCAGCGGAGGGAGGCTGCCGGCCCCGCTGGGGCCATGGAGCTGCTGAGGCTGAACCGAAGCGTGTCAGGACCCGGGCCCGGGCCGGGGGCTTCTCTATGCCGTCCTGGGGGTCTCCTCCTCAACAGCAGCGGCGCCAGCAACCTCAGCTGCGAGTCCCCTCGCATCCGCGGAGCCGGGACGCAAGGTGGGTGCCTCCACAAGCCTCCTCCACGAGCTCCTTCTCACAGCACCTCACAGCAGTCAAAGAGGCGCCCCACGGCCTCCTCAAACGCCCTTGTCCTCCTCTTGGGAGTACTCGGCTCGCTGCCCCTCACATGGGCGACCCCCGCAGGCTCTTACAGCTCCACCACAGCCTCACACCATCCCCCCAACAGCCCCTCCACAGTCCTCCCCCAGCACACATCTCAAGTTGGGAGAGACAAGGACCTCTTCTCGTCAACCCTTCAGGTCTCTCTTTTCCTTTACATCCAGTTCACTGTGCCACAGTGAGAAAGGGAAGGAAGAAAGAAAAGCAAGAGTGAGAAAAAGAAGGAGTCTGGTTGGAAGAGGCAGCATTCTGAAGGCCTGAATGGGAAGTTAGAGTTGTAGTCTCCTATGTCCCCCACCCTAAACCCCTTCCCTCCCAAATGAGATCCTCTCTCCTGAACTCCTGGGGACTGCTCCGCATTTCACTCATCCTTAAAGCCCTCCACCTCCCAAGTTTGAGTTCCTCTCAAGGCTCTGTAGTTTCAGTCTCCAAATAGTGTCTCCAAGCCCCCTCCTTCTTCTCCTCAGAGTTCCAAACTGCCCCCTTGACAGCCCCATCCCTTTGTACCACCATCTGCTCCCCCTTTCTACCCTCTTGAAACTACTTTCAGTCACCTAGTCCCCAAGAGAGAATTTCACCTCACATCAGCATTTTCTTAAAGACCCAGCTCAAGATACATCTTTTTCCCCTCCTGCAGCTCTCTTCTCTTTAAATGTTTGTTTAACCCTGATCTCCCAATCCTGCAGACAAAAAGATGTCCTCATGATCAAGTGCAGAGGAGAGACAAACCAATGGATAAATCACAGTGTGGCAGGTGGCAGGAGAGGGTCTGAACTACTGGCATGCAAAGGAGAGAATGACGGGGTCCAAGAACTTCGCAGAGGAGGGAAACTGGGAGTTGGTCTTGAAGTTGAAGTTCAGTAGGCAGAAAAGGAAGGAGAGCGATTTCAGGAGAAAGAACTCTGTCAAGAAGGGAAAAGTTGGAATGAATCACAATGCAAGCATTTATTTACTCCACAAACTAATGCATGCTTTCTCAGCTCAGTTGTTACAACTGCACTTAGATTCTGTCAGTCAAGAAATATTTATTGAACCAGAGACTATGTTAGGCACTGAGGCATGAGTTGAGAAAAACTGAAACAGTCCCTACTTCATGGAGCTCACAGTTTAGTGGCAAGAACAGACAAGTAACCAGAGAATTGCAGCCCAAAGTGGAAAGTGCCTCATAGGGTTGTGGGAACACAGAAGATGAGCCCCAAATCCAGACTTGAGAATCAAGGTTGACTTCCAAAGAGGTGATGTCTAAAGTGAAATCAGAGGGGGAGCCAGCCAAGTAAAGGGGAGAAGAGGCAAAAAGCATCCCGAACAGAGGAAAGTATGTGTAATAGCCCAAAGTGTAAATCCATGGCACTTATATTTATTCAGTGTGACATAGTTTCTGTGTGGCTAGAACATGTACACTCAGGCTGGAGATCAAACTAATGTATTTCTGAAAAGCATTATAGACCTAACTGAGGAGTGTGTATTTTATTCTGAAGCAATGGGAACGACTGAGAGGTTTTAAGCTAGGATTGGTTGTATAGTATAGCAGATAGATTGGAGGACAGAAGTCAGAGGAGGGCAGAGGAACACTTTAGAAGGCTATTACAGTGATCCCGGTGAAACATCATGCTGGCTTAGACAAAGGAACTGGCAGTGGAGATGGAAAGAAGTGGATGGATTTGAGAGCCAATTGTGAAGTAGAATTAACAAGACCTGGGAGCTCTGGTGTTGTAGTGCCTAAGGCATTTGACTGCTAACCAGAAGGCTGGGGGTTGAAACCAAGGAGGGGTCACTATGAATTGGATCCGATTCCACAGCAGTGAGTTTGGTTTGGTTTGGTTGGTGATTGATTAGAAGTGGAGAGGAAAGGAGAGGTCAAGGGTTTCTGGCTTGGGCAATTGGATGGATGTTGGTGCTATATAATGAGCAGGTTGACAAAGGAGCAGAAACAGGTTTGGAAAAGGAAATTATAAATTCTGTTTTGAACCCACTGAGCTTAAATGCCATTGAGACATCTAGGTGGAGTTGCCTGTTAAGCTGTTGAGTCCATCAGTCAGCATTCTTAGGGGAGAGGTCTGAGCTAGAAATATAGACTTGAAAGGTCTTGCCTAGAGGAGATAATGGAAGCCATGGGTATAGATAAAAATCATCCCAAAATTGTGTAGAATGGAAAGAAAAGAGGACCTAGGATAGGATTCTATGCTGTTGTTCTTGTTAGATGCCATTGAGTCAGCTCTGACTCATAGCAACCCTATGTACAACATGCTGCCCGGTCCTGTGCCAGCCTCACAATGCTTGCTATAACTGAGCCCATTGTTGCAGCCACTATGTCAATCCATCTCATTGAAGGCCTTCCCCTCTTTCACTGACCCTCCACTTTACCAAGCATGATATCCTTCTCCAGGGAATGGTCCCTTCTGACAACATGACCAAAGTAGGTGAGACAAAGTCTGGCCATTCTTGCTTCCAAGGAGCATTCTTCCCGGAAGGATTTGTTAGTTCTTTTGGTAGTCCATGGTACTTCTGGTATTCTTGGCCAACACCACAACTCAAAAGCATCAACTCTTCTTCCTTATTCATTGTCCAGCTTCACATGCATATGAGGTAATGGAAAATACCATGGCTTGGGTTAGGCATACCTTAGTCTTCAAAGAGACATCTTTGGTCTTCAGCACTTTAAAGAGGTGTTTTGCAGATTTGTCCAGTGCCATAAGTCGTCTGATTTCTTGACTGCTGCTTTCTATGGAAACCCAATCTTTAAAAGCTAGGCAGAGGAAGAAGAGTCTGTGGAAGACATTTAGGACAAACTGTCAGAGAGACAGGAGCTATGTCCTTCCAGACGCCAAAGGAAAAGAGAGTTTCAAGTAGGGTGGTGTCCAAAACCAAACTTGTTGCCATCAAGTCAATTCTGACTCATAACAACCTTATAGAACAAGACAGAATTGCCCCCACGGAGCTTCCAAGCCTATAATCTTTACAGAAGCAGACTTCCATGTCTTTCTCCTGCAAAGAAGCTGGTTGATTTTAACAACTGACCTTTTGATTAGTAGCCAAACACTTAACCACTCTGCCACTAGGATTCCTTCAGGGTAGGCTAAATGATGTCAATTACAGCAATATAGTTGGATAAAGACAGAACACTATCCTTTGGATTCCATAACAAGGAAGTTCTTAGGTGAAATAGTGGGTGCTGAGGCCTAACTGCAGTAGGTTGATTGGGCCAGAGGGAGAGACAATTTGAGAAGTGAGGTAGGGTGTGTAGATAAAACTTTCAGGGAGTTTTGACATTTTGTAGGGAGAAACAACAACAACCAAAAAATAAAAATTAAAAAAACTCACTGCCATTGAGTTGTTTCCAACTCATAGTGACACCTCCTTGGGTTTCTGAGGTGGTATCTCTACAGAAATAGATTGCCCGGTCTTCCTTCGAAGGAGTGGCTGGTGGGTTTGAACCACCAGCCTTCTGGTTAGCAGTCAAATATCTTAGGCACTACGCCACCAAAGCTCCCTTTGTAGGGAGAGAGGGAAACAAAGATAGTGCTAGAAAATGCATAAGATTGAGAAATGAGTGTGTGTGTGTGTGTGTGTGTGTGTGTGTGTGACTTTGTCTTTTGAATTCTTTTGGTGGTAGTAGGGACAAGAGCATTTGCAAATGTTGAATAGAAAATGAGGCTGGAGAAAGGAACATTGAAGGTGCAGAAGAGAGGAGAGGGCACAGTCCTCAGCAAAGGTCCCTGAGAAAGCAGGATGTGAAGCAATTCCAAGCTGTGGTGCAAGAAGTGGCCTCACACATCTGGAAGTTATTACTCACACTACATTCAGATGTTACCAAGCAGTCAGAAGTTACCCACAGACTCTTATTACCCACAGTCACTCAATACTACCCTTGTAGATGCATATGTTCATTCCAACATTACCAACAGAAATTATCCTGATATAACCCACAGACACTTGAGTTTGCCCATGTTTACTTAAATGCTACCCACAGAAACCCAGACATTACCCACACTCACGTTAATAGTGCCCGTAATCATTTAGATGTTACCCATCCATGGAACGCTACTAATTTTCATTTTGTTATTAACCACACAGAATCAGATGCTATCTCTGCTCACTTAGGTAACCTTCCTCCAGCTTTTCCCATAAAATCAAAGACACTACTTTTGTGCACTCCAATATTACCGACAGAGACTCAACTATTACCTGTATTCATTTAGATGATCAGTTAATTTCACTCAACCAAGTGTTATTTGTACTCAAATATTGCCCACACATGCTTGGATATTTACTAACTTAGCTATTACTATCATCATTTGGATATTACCGTATTTGCACAGGTATTACCACAGAACCCTAATGTAAGCCATACTTCTTCAAGATGTTTCCTACAAAATGAGATGTTATCTGCAGACTTTTGGTTATCACCCTGGCTCATTCCAATGTTCCAACACTTACTCAGATACTTAAAAAAAAAAAAAAAAAAAAACAACAACAAACTGCTGCTGTCAAGTTGATTCCAACTCATAGCAACCTTACAGTACAAAACAGAACTTCCCTGTAGTGTTTCAGAGGCTGTAAATCTTGGGAAACAAAACTCCACATCTTTCTCCCACAGAGCATCTGGTGGGTTCAAACCTCTTTAACCACTGCACCACCACTTAAATGTTATCCACACTCAATTAGTATTACCTATAGACATGTAGTTGTTAACCTTCTCTGGATATTGCCCACAGAAACTCGTGTTACTCTCACCTACCCTGATATCATCTCGAAGACTAAGATATTACGCAATGGTCACTCCGATATTATGCACACACTCTTGGCTATTACTCTTACTCTCTCAATCTTACCCATTGACACTTGAATGTCCCTCCATTCAATCAACTATTACTCATGGTCAGTTGGATGCTATCTGCTCACCATAAAGACATAGATATTATTACTTTGATGTCAGAATTCATGAGTGACCAGATCCCACACACTAATGGAAGGCAGAATTTGAGGCATCAACAGTTTCAAGGTTCTGTGGAATCCTTTCATAGAAAAGCTTGGTTTTTGTTTTGTATCATATTGTCTGGATTTTTGTGCTCTTACTTTCTCCGTCATAATTTGGACAAAACAAAGGCCCTCGAGACCCCAGAAGCAGAACTGAACTATTCCAATCTCTTGAGTCCACTGGTTCTACTCTCCTCTCATACCCAGTGGGCTAATGCCCATAGGCAGACTGTCAGTGCACCAGGGGTTATAATCCAGAAGGTGCCATCTCCCATCTATCCACTCCACCTTAGGTTCCTAGTCACTTCAGCTACTGTGAACACTCATAGTTGCCACATATATGGATGCATATATACCCACTAGTTTTAACTCTAAGATTGCTTTTAGTTAGTCATTTTCATATCACCTAACTGGTCAACAGCAAGGAACTAGAGAGATAGTGGGAATAAGGTAAGATCTAGGAATGCTCAGTGAAAACAGCAAAAACCCAAACCAAACCCACTGCCATTGAGTCAATTCTGAAAGCACTAAAAAATTGCTGCTTAATTTTGTTGAGACTTTGTCCCCTAATTTTTAGGAGTCCCCAAGAAGATTAGGAATTTCAGAAGGAATGAGCCTATCCTCATCCTTCTGCTCCACCACAATTAGTCAAGTTCAAAGAAAGACACATGGGTCATATCAGCCAGACGAATGAATGAGAAATATATTCTGCACACAAGAGTGGTGTACAAACTTGGGAAGGTATGGTGACTACATCAAAAATCAATTGAGGGAGACATCTAGAATAGGATGTGAGAGAAATGATGGATTAGAGGGAGTAAGAAGTGGGAACAAAAGAGGCAGACTGTGAGGGGAGAGAAGAACACAGAATGCAAGATAGACTACCAGCTCTGTCTTTCCAAGTCGAAGGGCCTCTCTGAGAGAGATCTTCTAAAAGGTCTTTATTTTCCTTTACACATACACACACACACACATCTCTAATTTATTACAGATAAGCCTTTCCTACAGAGAGGGGGCCTAGCTTCCTAATGAGACACAAAGGGTTTGTATATAATAGCAAAAGTAGAGCATCAGAAATCACAGCTTGTTATTGACCCCTCAAGGACCCTCCAACATGTGTCTCCAGAGAGACAAAGGCAGAGAGAAAGCATGCTGGAGATCTAGAGGCACAGAGGTGAGAGCTGGATGCAGAAGGAAAAGGCAGGTGCACTTATATGGAGAGAGACAGAGATTCATTCAAGATTCATTAACAAGCACTTGTATATTGAGTGCCTCCTTTGTGCTGGACATCATGCAGAGTGCTAGGGAGAACAAGATGGACATTGTCCCTGTCCTCAAGAAGCTCATACTCTATGGGGGAGGTAGATAATTAAATATAACATATAGTGAGAAATGCCATGATAGAATCCTGGGGGATGGGGGAGGGACACTGAGATTGAGATTCAGTTAAGAGAAGGAGGAAATGTGATGAATGACAGAGGAACCAGGGAACAGTAAGTAGGACGCCAAACATTGTAAGAATCTAGAGACTTGGATTATATTCTCACGCAGCCTCTTACTAGCTGTATGACCTTGGACAAGTTTTTTCACTGCTGGGCTCAGTTTAGGGATCTCTCCTTAATAGCACTGTGGATATCTGATATCTACAATGGCATCAAGAAAGGCTAGGTATTGTAAGGAGAAAACAGCATAATGTGGGAGCTAAAACAAGAGGAAGAGGGAGCTGCAGCTCTGAGCCTTCTTCCTCCAACTGGGAGGCTCTGCCTCTTGCCTTCTCTTTATTTAAGTGCCAGTCTCCCACCTGTTGGGCCAGGGGTGTGGATACTTCAATCCAGTTCAATTCAATCCAACTTCGCCTGGGTGCCTACTGGCCTAGGAGTCTACTTGGCTACAGTATGGAGACCCAGAGATGAATCCATCTCCCAACAGAAATTGACTCAAATGAATGGGGTTAATCCTCCCAGCCCTCTGTCTAGCCCAGCGACATCAGATTTCCCTCATCTGAGCTTTCACAGCACCTTGTACATCCCTCTGTCTCACCCCTTATCACACAGTGTGGAAACTATGTTTGTGTACCTGCATTCCCCTCTAGAGTGTAGCAGGAAATTTGTCATGTTCATCTCTTTGTTCCCTGTGCTTAGCCCAGAGGTAGTCCTCTGTAAATGTTTGTTGAGTGAGAATGAATGTTTGGAGATACTAAAATACAAAGCAGAAAGTAAAAAGGACTCTAACAGATCTATAAGGAACATGCATGGATCAAAGAAAAGGGAAATGAATTCCAAATGCAGTGTACAGAAGTGGCAGTTGACCTGAGTCTTGAAAGACAAGAGATAAAAAGGAGTTCACCAGATATAGAAGTCTGTGATGGGGAGAGAGGAGGTTGGTGAAGAAGCATTCCAGGCTGAGGAACCAGTGTGAGCAAGGAGTCATGAGTGTATATAATTAAAAAAAAATTAAAAGACTCATCCAGTGGCTTAAGTGGGTGCATAGCAGGGGAGAAGGGAGAGGACAGAGCAGGAGGTGGAGGACTTTGATAATATGCTAAGCACTTGCAGATTATAGAGAATAGATGAAAGCCTTTTGTTTGTTTTTTGTTTTCTTTTTGAAGAGAATAAGGATATGATCTTACATGGGTTTCAAAAGGAATGGACTGCATAGGAAAGAAAGACACAGGGAGGAAGTGGGAAGAGAGCTGTTACATTATGGGGACTGCAATCAATGTCATGAAACAAAATGTGTATGAGCTGCTGTATGGAAAATGAATTTGCTCTATAAACTTTCACCCAAATGACAATTAGGAAAAAAAAAAGGGGGGGGGGGTAATGGATGGTCAGCATGTCAAAAGTTGCAGGGAGGTCAAGTAGAATAGGCTGAGAAGAGACCTCTGGATTTGGAAGTGAAGGCTTAGTGACCTTGGGAAGAAGTGTCCAAACAGTGATGGAGGAGAGTGAGACTGGATTGTAATGAATTGGGGTGTGGCTAGGAAGAGACTAATAATCTTTTCAAGTAGTTTGGCTGAAAAAGAGAAGGAAAGATTTGGAGCAAACTTGAGGGGAAAATACAGGGTTTTTTTTTTAAGAAGGGTAGAGCTAGGCCAATTTAACTGTCTGGGTCTCAAGAAGGTAAAGGATTCAAGTTCACTGTCTAATAAGTGAGACCTGGGGGGATGGGGTGATCTTGGAATGTAAGGGATCTGCCTGGGAAGTGGGGGTTGGGGATAAGTGGACTTGAGGTGTTTGGTTCAGTGGAGCCCAAATCCCTTACTGCCAACTCTCCTTTTTCCCACCCAGAATTGGAGCTGGCCATTAGAATCACCCTTTATCTGGTGATCTTTCTGATGAGCGTTGGCGGAAATGTGCTAATCATCGTGGTCCTGGGGCTGAGCCGACGCCTACGAACTGTCACCAATGCCTTCTTGCTCTCTCTGGCAGTCAGCGACCTCCTGCTGGCTGTGGCTTGCATGCCCTTCACTCTCCTGCCTAATCTCATGGGCACGTTCATCTTTGGCACAGTCGTCTGCAAGGCAGTTTCCTACCTCATGGGTGGGTGAGACAGCCTTCTTCCCCTCCCCCAACTCCTCACCTTCGATCCTTGCCAAATGTAGGGATCTTTCCCTATTTGGCTTTGGGAAGTGTGGGAGGTCACACTGGTGAGTGTAAGTGCAAGTTTCCAAAGCGATCCCTTCCTCTTTCCTTCCTCAGGGGTGTCTGTCAGTGTGTCTACACTAAGCCTTGTGGCCATCGCCCTGGAGCGGTACAGCGCCATCTGCAGGCCACTGCAGGCGCGTGTGTGGCAGACGCGCTCCCACGCGGTTCGAGTGATAGTAGCCACATGGCTGCTGTCCGGGTTGCTCATGGTGCCTTACCCCGTGTACACCACCGTGCAGCCAGCGGGGCCCCGTGTGCTGCAGTGCGTGCATCGCTGGCCCAGTGCGCGCATCCGACAGACCTGGTGAGCGTGCCCATGATTTACAGTCCTGGAAACTTCCTTCTCTATCTCCATCAGATGCTTACGACCATAACTCAGGACTCTCCTCCAGCTACTCCACAAGTTACCACTCCAGTTCCCATTTAGCACCGAACACCCGGGATTCCCATTTGGAGCCCCTCCCCCAGTTCTCTGTTGTTGCTGTGTGCCGTCGCGTCGGACCCTACTCATAGCGACCCCTCCTTGGGTTTCCAAGGCAGGGTCACTACGGAAGTAGATTGCCCCATCTTCCTTCCGAGGAGTGGCTGGTGGGTTTGAACCGCCAGCCCTCTTGTTAGCAGTCCAGTGCCTTAGGCACTACGCTACCAGAGCTCCCCCCAGTTCTCTAGCCTTCCCCAAAGGCATCCCTCAATCCTACTTCTACCTCTGGAGGCTGGCCACCAGCCCTAGGAATACCAATCGCTTCCCCACATCTGTGATTGGGTGACTGGACAGAGACCCGCATGATCCGTCTTGTGTGCTGTCTCTAGGTCGGTGCTGCTGCTCCTGCTCTTGTTCTTCGTCCCAGGTGTGGTTATGGCTGTGGCCTACGGACTGATTTCCCGCGAACTCTACCTGGGGCTTCGCTTTGACGGTGACGGTGACACCGAGAGCCAGAGCCGGGTCCGAAGCCAGGGAGGGTTGCAAGATGGGAAAGGACCAGGTGGGCAGAAACAACGGTGGGCGGAGCCTGAGAGAGTAGGGTGGAGTTTGGGAAGGGGCGGGCCCTAGAGTAAGCGAGGCCGGATGGAGGATTGTAAGCAAGAGATGAGGCTGGGAATGTGGCTAAGGTTGTATGTAAGCCAGGTGTGGGAGGGCTGGAGGTTGGAGGACCCTGCCTTCTGCTCTGACCACCCACCCTCTGTACCCAGATCCTGCCCACCAGAACGGGCACTGCCGGCTTGAGACAGGGCTGGCTGGCGAGGATGGCGATGGCTGCTACGTGCAGCTTCCGCGCTCTCGGCCGGCACTGGAGCTGTCGGCGCTGACGGCGCCCCCTTCTGGGCCAGGACCGGGGCACCGGCCGGTCCAGGCAAAGCTGCTGGCCAAGAAGCGCGTAGTGAGGATGTTGCTGGTGATCGTTGTACTTTTTTTCCTGTGTTGGTTGCCAGTGTACAGTGCCAACACATGGCGCGCCTTCGACGGTCCAGGCGCGCACCGCGCGCTCTCGGGCGCACCGATCTCTTTCATCCACTTGCTCAGTTATGCTTCCGCTTGTGTCAACCCCCTGGTCTACTGCTTCATGCACCGTCGCTTTCGTCAGGCCTGCCTCGAAACGTGCTCTCGCTGCTGGCCCCGCCCTCCACGAGCTCGCCCTAGGCCTCTGCCGGACGAGGACCCTCCCACCCCATCCATTGCTTCTCTCTCCAGGCTGAGCTACACCACCATCAGCACACTGGGGCCAGGCTGAGTGGTGAAGGGGAGTGGGGGCTGAGACAGGACAGAGACTGATCCCTACAAGATGGAACCCATGCAGATACGCGAGAAACAAACCAAAACTTACCAGAGACTGACACCTGACAGCGTAGGAAAAGGGGCTTACCTGACAGACGCCATACAGGAACTGAGGCGCACTCCTGATAGGGGATTGAACCAGGCACATAGAAACAGCACCAATCCCAGACAGACACAGAGGCCCTAGCAGTGGCTGTCCCTACACAATAGAAACTATGACAGAGGCTGACCTGCTTCTTATATACACATGCAGTAATGGCAATGATTCCATTAGGGGACATGGATCCAGGCATTGGACTGACTGCTGAGGCTGCCCCCAGTTTGACCTCACAGAGCCCTTCCCCTCCAGTACTGAAAGTGCCAACAGGCCTAAACTCACCCCTCCTTGACCAACAGACAGTTTTGGCAAAAAAATCCCTTCATCCGTTTCCAGTTAAGGACTGTGGCCCTGCCCCCTCTTCCCACACCTGGCTTCTTCAAGAAACAATAAATCATTCAGCTTCTTCCTGAACTTCCTATGGTTTTTTTTTTTTTCTTTTTTTTGAGCAAGGGATTTGTGGAATTCTCCCTGTCAGATGCCTCCTTATGGCCACACCAGTGCACAACCCCCTCCTGAAAACCCCAGGTCTGAAGCTAGGGGGACTCTATATTCTCCCTGGATTGTCATCCTTGACCACCTACATGCCAATGTCCTAGTAACTGGGAGTAGGGGTGGAAGAGGAAGGTTGGGTACCTATGACACATCATGACCCCTGGGCACATTCCTCTAAAGTGGTATCATTGTTAATGAACTGTATTGATAGATGATTATTAACATTTTGATGAAAAGATAAAGCAGCACTGTGTAATAAGACTCACTTTATTCAATTCAATTTCAAACAAATGCCAGAGATCAAACCGTGACAGATGTACACAAGTTCATTAAAGACTGGGGCCTTTTTTATTGTAAAACTGTATATGATACAACATTCGCCAATTCAACATTTTTCACGTGTACAATTAGATGAGACCAATTACATCAATCACGTTGTACAACCATCACCAATTTCGATTGCCAAATGTTCCATCACTATAAACACTCTTTCCCCCTCCCCTCCTCCATCTTGTTCTTGGTAACCACTATTAAACTCTAATATCTACATTTTCCTATTCTAGGTATTTCATATGGTAAGGTCATACATATGAAACATGTATGGTATTTGTCAAGAGTAAGACATTTTTAATGCACTTACTCTTCTTTAGTGTAAGAACCTGGACAAACTTCTGTCTCATGGAAGCATACTTCCTGGCCCTGGCCCAGCAACAGCAAAGAGGTTTGGAGTTGGTGGCAAAGATAGAGCTGAATATAAATCCCAGAGCCCAGCCTACCTTTTTTTTTTTTTTTTTTCCAGACTGTGAGCCTCTAAGCCAGGCCCAGAGAAAGGCAGGTACCAGCAACATCAGCCTGCACACACACAGTGACGAACAAGGAAGGACAGAAAATGATGACAGCACTAAGGGGACAGATACAGAGAGTCAGAGGCATGGTATGTTGAAAGAGAGGTTCCTTGAAATGCCATTTTGTAACAGATGGGGAAACTGAGACCAGAGCAGGAAATAAATCTGCCCAAGATCATGCAATGAATTAGAGCAAGGTAGAAAGGATAATACTGAAGTAGATACCGACCTGGAGATGGATAAAAAGCCACACCTATCAGGGAGAGAACCACATTTTGTGCAGCTTGAAACTTATTAAATTGAGTGCCCTTTTCAAAGAAAAAGAATTCAAAATTACAGACACAAAATTACTAGGACTCTGACCTTGGAAGGGACCTGTGCAAGTGAGGAGCCCTGTAAGTTAAACTTCATTAAATTCACAGCCAGCATGCCTCTAAAATCTACCCTCTCACTATGCTGGGCAAAGGCTGCATGGAGTGAAGGGTAGTAAGAAGGAAGAGTGGGTCTTCTGTTTATCAGTGCTAGAGCTGCTCCCATCAACCATTTCCACAGAGTTCTGGGCTGCAGGAGTAAGGAAGAGAGGGAGGGAAAAGGCGTTCCAAGCTGTCAACCTAGGACAGTTCTGGTTAAAAATAGAATCCCAGCTGGTCTAAGGAGTTGAAGGCGAGATATCGGGCTCTTCTTTCTAATGCCAACTTCATCAGGTGGCTGGAATAGGGTTGCCTGTAGGTGTCCCAGAACTCTCCCCCACTCCCACCCACCACACTATCTTCTGGAGGAAGTATGCCTTGGATGAAGGCCACCCTACCGTCAGCCCCCAGCTGAGGTTTGAGCACCTGATGACCACCAGATGGCAGCAGTGATCTAGGCGTGGGAGGGTTCAGCCCAGCCTCTGTCAGCTGAGTGTGGGCAAAATTACCATTATTTTATGCAAATGACATGCACACTATACATTTGTGGTAAACAACGCAACCATCTCACACATTAGTTTCCTACGTGCACTATGTATGCGGGTGTGTCTTATTTATGTGGTGTGTTATATGTAAAAAAATACATTACTGCCAGAGTTCGTTGGTGGAGCAAATAGTTATGTGCTGGATTATTAACCCAATGTTTGGTGGTTCAAACCCACCAAGAGGCATTTTGGAAAGTCATAGCCTCAAAAACCCCATGGAGTGCAGTTCTGCTTGGCACACGTGGGGTAGCCATGACTCAGAAGTGACTCAACAACAATTGACAACCACACTGAAACCTAGCACACAAGCATGGCCTGAACAAAACCACTTCCCACATTGTGCAGCTCTTTAGCCTATGGGAATACTTGCACATTCATCACCCTACCCTATACCCTATGCAGGTACCAAATGTGGAATCTTGGGCTCCTCCCATTTATTTTCATCTCTTAAAATCTGATGACACATTTCAGGTCCAGATTTAATATCAGTTTCCATGACAAATCATGGTTGCTTGGTTGCCCTAGCAGAACTTGTCTGCTCATACAGTACTTACTCCTTTCTTTCTTCTATCACAATTATTTATGTTCCTGCTTGATTTTCCCTAATGAGCTGGAAACAGCATGATGCAGTGGGAAGATGTCTGAGCCTGGGTTTAGAAGGTAGGGTGGTGGAGGAGGTGGTGTGAAATCTAATGCTTCTTGGAGCTAGGTGACAGGCATTTCATATACGCCATTTCATTTCGTTCTTGGAACACTTCTACAGAACATTTCATTTGACAGGTGAGGAAAGTGAAGCCGAGAAAGCTTCAGGGAATTGCAGGAGGTCCTGAAGCCAGGATGGAGCCAAGAAATGAGGTCAAGAATATCTAACTCTAATGCTTTTCTCTTTCTATTATACTGTGTTACCTTCTTTAAAACCCTGAAAACTGGTTCCAGTCCTGGTCCTGCCTTTTAAAAGTCATGTAATTTTGTGCAAGCTATATAATCTCAGTGTACCTCAGTCTTGGCTGTAGAATGGGAATAATCACATTAACCTCACACTACCATTTTGATAATTACATAAAACAATGCTCATAAAGTGCTTATCATTGTCCCAAACTTATAGCATAAAAGGTTTAGACTTGAGATTGCTTCTAGACTAAATAGGAGCAGTAACACCAGGAAACAAGCCCTCTGCAGAGGGACAGCCACTGATAACTGAGGGGGGCAGAATTCTGGGTCTAAGGGAAGGGTCAGAGCCTGCTATGAGATGATATTAGAAAGTAGTGGAGTCAGGATTTGAACCCATGCTCTTTCCGCTGCTCATCCTGATTCTGATCACCCAGAGGGGTCATTCCAGGCTGAAGGCTTTTCCCAGGATTTACAGTAGATGAACAGGTATTAACCCTCTGGTTCTGCAGGCTAGGAGCCCTCAGTGAGCCACACAGTTCTAGTATCTCTATTACTGGAGAGATGACCCTGGAGATCCACTTCCATAAAATAAGAGGGATGCAACTGTCCAAGAAATCTCATCCCTCAAACCTTCCCAGAAAGCAGTTTTCATGGCTAAGTCTTGGAACTATGGGTGATATGGAAACAGCCCAGAGTAGGGGGATTGTCACAGGGGAGGACTGCAGGCTCAGAAGCTGGTTGTGCTCACAGACATCTCAAGTCAGAATCTTGGATAATTATACACTCTGTTTAGTCAGGGCTGACTAGCAGGGAGCAAGGGATGCTTTGTGGAAAGATTTTGTTCCTTCAAGTTATCTATAGAGGCAGATAGGAAGAAAGGAAAGATGGTAAAGAGGATGCAGAAGAGAGCAGACCCCATCCAGGGTCCAAGCTTGTTGCTAAGATGTAACGCCTGGAGGTGGGCCCTCCTGGAAAAGGCAGCTCTTATTGGCAGCTTAGGAGCTCTGGTAGTGTAGTGCCTAAGGCACTTGACTGCTAACCAGAAGCCTGGAGGTTCAAACTCACCAGCCACTCCTCAGAAAGGAGGTTGGGCAATCTACTTCCCTAGTGATACTGCCTCGGCAACCCAAGGAAAGGTCACTATGCGTCAGAAATGACTCAATGGCAGTGAGTTTGGTCTTTTGAGTTTATTGGCAGCTTATTCTAACCATGGTTCTTTAGTTGCTTCCTGCCCTCTGAGCCTCATTCACTAACCCTCAACCACAGGGGGCACTTGGTCAATGAAATTCTTGGTCCATCACTGTCACCATACACAAAGATTAGTACTTTCCTCTTAGTGGGGTCCAATCTTTTCAAAAAGGAATTCTAGCTCAGCCATGTAGCCTACTTCTTCAGGGCAAGAATAGTTAACCAAATAGGCCCATCGATAGCACCTTGTCTTAAACAAATAGTTTTGGGTCCCAGCACCCTAAGTAGGCATATAAGTAGTGAGAGATAAGACCTAGAAGGGCTCTTGAGGAATGTACATTTGACTGATAAGGCTGGTTTGAGTGATAAGGTTGTCTGATTCCCCAAGGTTAAACAAATGGGCTATAAACAATGTGCAAAAGGTAGAAACCAGAGAAATTCTCAGCCTGGACTTATCACCCCAACTATACTTTAAGGGGGAGCAC